TATTAAGCAAAGTAAGCCTATATTATAGAGAATATTAAGTTGACCGTAAGAAAAGTGCAGCAGTGTCCCTATGCTTCAAATCATTCAATAATTATTAAGAGAATAGAATAAAAAGGTATGGACTTGCTGCTATAACGTATTCTGATACGCTGGTATTATATGGAAATCCAATATCAGAATTATTTCACATGAAATCCAAAATAACTTGTTAGAAATTTTTGAAATATAATAATTTGCATGCATTATTCATCTTTTATTAAAATACATTAGAGGATATAGATTTCGAATGATAAATTCAGAGGATTAACATCAATACTGGTAGTAACAACTTATTTGTACTATTAATTCATAGTAGAATGTGAATTAGATCATCTTTATCATCTCGTTGTATGAATGAGATAAACTTAAACACAAATTAAAGTTACTGTAAAGTTACTATATAATGACTGGCGTAACGTTCGTGAACAGATACGTAGGTGAACAGGTAGAACTGGATACACACGTGCGTATTATAGATATATATATCACAAAACACCTATACATTTTCTAACTGTATATAAGTACAATAAATAATCGTGCTTAATGAGAAGTATTTGCATATGCTATAATTCAGCCTCCTATCGTCGCAAGTACAAGCCCTGGTGTCATGATTAGCAACTATACATGGCGAATTCTTGAATGACCAATGTTGCAGTGCAGTGGATAGGCCTATGGCTGGAGGAATATTTGTATCGGAGCCCTATCCAAGAAAGGATATTCACACAGCAAAGTAATAAAACAATGCAGGGAAGCTATGGGAACGCCAATTTCAAAGACAACTATAGTTTTGTAAATAACATCGACAACAGAAGATAAGATGTACATCTATGATGTTGTAAAACTATATAAACAGCATTCCACCACAGGCAGACATCCATAATATAGTGAATATCATTGGAAACAGAATATAGCAAGTTCGTACATTATTGTGTTAGCATGGTTCAGATAATACAAAGTACATCAGTTTATTATTTGTGATTTTTACAGGTTTATAATCTTTATTAGGTAGTTTAAACCTCATAAAGAACACAGTAAAATAAAGTAGAACCTAGTTGATAACAGAAGAACTTTGACACCAATTATAATAGATGAAATTTCTAAACTGCACGGCAGGACATGTTTACATAATAATAATATGTCAAGTCAGTCATTTAGTGGGTCGAAAGTAAATTAATCATTAGTATACTGGACTAAGGATCGTGAGGTCCAAACCGTGATATACCATTTATCATCCCTGTACTTTCAGCTGAGGGGGCGGTGTAACTATGACAATCAATCCCGCCCTTCGGTTAAGAGTAACTACTAAGCAGTCCGTGCTGTTGACCTGCTGTTCTTCTGATCAAAAGGTTCAGATTAGGGATGATTATACCTGAACCTTAAAGGGTCTCTAATCTGGTCGTTTGTAACTCATGTGTCGCATAAGATGTCGTTCAGGTTTAAAATACCGAACAAATACAAGACAAGCTACTCTTCTAAGTAAATCCACAGCAGCATTTCTGCACACCATGCAGAATTAAATCGGTTTTCATAACATGTTTGTGAATGCACCTGTCTGTGCACTAATGAACCAGTTTACTTAAACTGATCAGGCAAAATCGACGTGACAGGAAGTAGTTCCTAAGAGATACCAAGAGACTTGAAACAATGTATATATATAGTGCGTTTAATTTACTTCATTTGGTTTGGTTTGGTTTGAATTCCGCACAAAGCTACACCAAGGCCATCTGCGCTAACCTTCCATGATTCAACAGTGAAAGACTAGACGGAAGGCAGCTAGTCATCACCACCCACCGCCAACGCTTGGGTTACTCTTTTACCAACGAATAGTGGGATTGATCGTCACATTATAACGCCCCCACGGCTGAAAGGGCGAGCATATTTAGTTGGAAGGGAATTCGAACCCGCGACCCGCAGATTGCGAATCGACCGCCCTAACCACCTGGCCATGCCAGGCCTTTATTTACTTCAAACACCCCTAGAAAAATGTGAACGTATTTATCATTTATAACTAAAAGTTGTCGCTATGGTTTATATAGAAATTCATAATATAGTAGCGTCACCTCTATATCAATCTTCAAATTCCAAAATAAAACACTGTTTGAAAGCACAACGTATAATAAAATCGAGAGTTTTTTGTTTAATTTAAAATAACTTATCTCAATGAATTTCGTTTTTGTACTTTTAATGGTGCTATTATTAGCAGTACTAAGCAAGCATTATATAATAAACCTTAAATCTAATAATGGTTGGAGACGGCTTGAATGGGTAATGAAGAAAAACTTTAATATAAGTTATCATAACAGCAAATGTACAACGTTTCGACAAGGTTTTGTCATCATCAGGTCATAACAAAAACTTGTTTTATTTTATTCTTTTCAGACGTATGTCACTTCGTCAGGCTTAGATACTAAGGTAGGTTTAGTAGCTAGGCCTGACGAAGGGCATACGCAGGAAACGTAGCAAATAAAATAGGTTATTATCATATACGTATGTTTAAACTTTTCCATTATTTCTTTTAATATTTTCCACGTATTGCGGTATTTTTCTACAGTGTGCATATTTATACAAGGCCTATCAATAGAGTATCAAGAAGTTTGTTAAAATTGCGAATGAGCTAATAAAATTGTGTCTCTTGTTTCGGGATTAAAAATACCCAAAGTGGATGCATTTATAGCAATCAGTTAACAAGATGCACTAACATGTAGTAAAAAGGTTTAATATCTGACAGATTTTATTATAAATCGCGATGGCCTGCTCAGGTTATAGCTGAAAAGTGCAGTGGTATTACACTCAATATTGAAATGGTATCCTCAGTTGTAGTGGTATCAATTCAACTTCCTAGATTACTATAAAAGGAATCACTATATACATTACACAGTATAACATGCTAGTGCTCATGTAAACTGATTCTAGGTTAAAACGACATTCTAAAGTCCAACAGTACAATTCGGTCATACGTATATAAGCACATGACAGTTTTCTACACGTTTTTAATTGGCTTTTTTTTCACAGTTGTTGGAGTCCAGATATTGATCTCACCTTAATTTTTACTGCTGTTTCCAAATATGTGAGATAGAAAACATAGTTCCTTTTTATACAAGGAGTATCTGCACAAAGGAGTCCCTAGTTTTAAACTAGACGGAAGGCAGCTATATAAGAAAACCCACTGCCAGCTGTTGTGCTATTTTTATATAATCCATACAACTTAAAAGTATGGAGCGCGTTTTTGTGGCAATAGGATTCGAACCATGAATTCTCGGATTCGCTATTGGGGTAAACATATCGCGAGCAAGCCTCGCTCTCGCTACCTTCCGACTACGAGTCCAAAACACAAAACATTTGGGCCATGCTGGTCTCTACTGTGTCTATCATAAACTTAAACAGTGAACATTTCTTCAAAAGCAATCAATCTTCGCATAGTGCTTATATTTTGGGTTAGTTTATTTCATTGCACTTCAAGGATAATGTGAATCGCAGGAGTTCCTTTCCCTCTCTCTTTTTGACAATTTTGAAATAATACTCCTTTGATGTAAATTCAAATGCAAACAAAAGTTGGAATAATGTTACTCTTTCCTTAAAACCTAATTTACTTTTCCCATCGCAGAAGTTTCAGGTTTAAAGAATATTTAAGAAAAAGTTTAAATAACAATACAAATCTGTAAGTATGTGTATCAGACATATACATACATCTAGACAAATAAACAGGCTCGTTTATTTCAGAAATTTCAAAAAGAGCTACACAAGGGCCATCTGTACATAACTGTACCTAGATGAAAGGAAGTTAATCAACAATAGCCACCGCCAAATCATCTCCTACTTTTATCTGACCGAATTATTGGATTTCACTCTTACTCTGCATTAAATCCTCGGTCTCAAAATGCGGAGCGCGTTTTTGCGACAAAGGAAAGTAAACCAAAAATCATCAGATTCTTAATCTGAGCACGCTAACACTAAGCTACACCCAGAAGATAAACAGGCGTATAGATACATCTTTGCAGCGTATATCATACAGCTCCAAAGTATATTTATGTTTCTAAACCAATATTGAAACATCTGGAAATTGTCTTAACAATTGCATGCGAGGATGGGTATTTCAGATTCATTATTATTTGTATGAAACTTAAATAAGTATGCATCAGATTCGATTATTAATAATCTGTATGAAAATATTGTAATACCGAAGCACAGGACTGACGATATTAGGTTGTTTTACATATGAGTAAAAAGTGGATCTAATTGATAGAAGATTAAAGAAAACTTTCCCTCGTACTTAACTGTTAAGGGAAGGGTTTTACTGATTCAACTTTAGTAGAACTAATAGTAATCTCATCAGCAAACATATTCCATGTTCTTTGATAAGTATGTGATATGTTAATATGATTTACTCATCCTAAAATAATTGCGACATATCCGCATACCATGTGTATTTATGTGTGTGTGTGTGTATAGGTGCAACAACCTTTAATGCCGTAAACGTTTTAGAGTCTTTATACATGTATTTTCTAAACCAAAACAGCACACTCCAAGAATGTAAAACAAATACGAAACGTTAAAGACTTCAGTCTTTTTAAATATGATTTTGTTCTGCACTGGGTATTAGTTTCACGAGGTAAAATACATTCTTTGTTAATCAAGTTAGGTTCACAATTGATGTGTACGTATGTAGAAGAAAGAAAGAACTGTGCATGCTAACGTAGATAAAAAAATTAAATACAATAAAAAACACTCTATTCAACTTTGCAATAATAAAAAAAGTTTTACATTAAATAACATTTTTCTATCGGATACTATCAAAAAGTGTTACTTTAAACAATTATTTTTTATTGGACATTATCACGTTTTACGTTAAACAGCAGTTTCCTATTGGATAATATTTTGATTTAAAATTACTTTCAAAATAAAATGAAACGTTCGATACGGTAATATTATAATGAGTGGAGGTGTATTGATATATCTTCCAGGCCATGGGGGTATCAACCAACTCGGGGGAGTTTTCGTTAACGGCCGCCCTTTACCAGATATTGTCCGTCAAAGGATTGTTGAACTAGCTCACCAGGGAGTGCGGCCCTGTGACATCAGCAGACAACTCAGAGTATCTCACGGGTGTGTGTCCAAAATTCTGGGCAGGTAAGCGCAGTTGTTTAGGAAAAATAACAAGATAAGCTGTTATGAAACCAGTAATTTATGTGTCAAATAAAGGCCGTCAATTTATCATTAGCCGTAAGACAGTTTTGATTACTAAAACATATTTTTTAAGGCTATAAATTGCTTAAGCAATCGTATCTTACTATATATGATTATGATTATAACTATCATTACCAAGACTGTTGCTATTGTAGATATATGTTATCAAATCCCTACTTTGTATAACTATTTAATATAATTCATATTAAACTTTCTCTAGTTATTTTATACCGTTGAAGTTGCTAGAGAAATTCCATGATATAGGTTAATATCTCTCATGTAGCATAAAGGAGGGGGGGTTTCCAGAGGTTTGTATTAAGCAGAATCTTTTTAGTTACATGTTGTGAAATAGTGACTGTAGCACATTCATTGCATACTTTTATTTGTACCCTACGCTAGTAATGTGTTTGGAAATGTTTAAATGTTTCTAGGTAATAAGGAAGTTACATACAATGTTTTTTTACTTATGATTACGTTTCGTCTTGTTGTATCTTATGTTGTATGTTTATAATTTTATGAATCTTAAGAAATGAAACATTTTATATTTTAAATGTCTTTGAGATGGCTGTCGATAATGAATACCGTAATTGTTATCTTGTGAGAAAAATAACAACAAGTTTCGAGATTACTTATTCATGGTTGTGTGGCACTGATAAGAGGGCTCTTGGATAGCTGCCTTCCCTCTAGTCTGTCAGTTCAAAATTAGAGACGGATAGCGCTGGACTCAAATACATCAGATGATTCCATCAATGTGTTCTACTAATAAGACCCATTGTAAGAGACAACAATATTAATTTGTAATAGTTCTCGTTTCGTTAATCCACTACGCTTTATAAGCGTATTTTGCGTTACGCACCCGTGTTTTATTGTCATTAAAAATATATTTACTAATGACGTTCTATTTACTCCATATCTAATTATATTCTGTTTATCACACGCACAAGAAACTTTTACAGAATATTTCAGACACGAGCACAAATTCGATTACCAGAAAGAGTTTTGAATTTTGCGATACGTTTTCAAGAAAATCAGCTTAATGAGGGTGAAGAAAACTGACGTTTTATAACTTTCTTGTCTTCTTTGTTCATTTTCTTTACTTATTTTACTGAATCTACATGAATAATCTTTAAAAACCGCTGACATTCTTAAAATGATGAAATGCAACAGTTGTCATGTCACATCTGTTTCAACGCAGCGTGATCCATTGATTATGCTATTTTCTAACCATTTCCTTTTTACTCTACAAATTATAGGTTATTCAAGTTCTCTTTTTAGCTCTAAAAATTCGTTACAAAAACTTTTCAGGAAAATACTTTTATAGTTACAACCACTTAAGTAAGACAATCATTGTTTATTTGATGAATTTTGCGCAAAGCTACCCAAAAGGCTATCTGCGCATAAACGCCACTTATTTTAAACTGATAAACTAAAGACAAAGAAGTTGATGAATAACACACAACATCAACTTCTGAGCTGCCCTTGTCTGACTGAACAGTGAGATTTGATTGACCACTGTTATAGTTCCAAAACGTGCAACACGTTTATGTAGTAACGCGAAGTGAGACGTGAATTCTCAGATTCACACTTCTGGTCCATTTCCTTACGGTAATGTTTGGTTTCCCTGTATAAGAAATTGACTTTCAAACTATAAAGAATCCAATATTTTTCTTAGAAACTGTTATAAAATATTCCAACGTTAATTTCTAATTACCACAAGTAATCTTTGCACGCTTGTACAGTTCTTGAAATATTCTGGAATAAAACGAATTTCCTCTTAACTTTAAAATTTCTAAGATACGTAATGACATTTTTATTGTAAATTTCACATACTACTTTACTGAGAAAGGGCATCAAATATTTCAACGACACATAATAAATAATAGATAAACATATTTCTCTACAGCAGATAATTAAGTTGATGACCAGTTTTGAAGCGTTGATGTATATTTTATGTCCTTATTTTGCAGTGAGACATTCTCCCTGAAAAGTCTCCTGTGGCTCAGGGGTAAGACTGTGGACCTAAAACGCTTAAAATCGGATTTTAATATCCGTTGTGGGCAGAGCAGAGACGGCTCATTGTGTAACTCTACGCTTAACAACAACCAAATTAACACTCCAAAGACTTACAGGAAAAAAAATTGTGTTTTTATTATTTTATTAATTAACCTTGTAGCTTTCTATGTATGTACGTCTGGCTAACTCCTCCCACAGGTCTGGAGCTAGCATAATCAGACTTGGCAGACGGTCTTAAAATGACCCGTTACATGGTGGATATCTAAGAATAGGTTTTCGGGGTCGCTAAATCCGAATCTGGCATCGAATTTTGTGTTTCTGACCTCCTCGGGATCCCGTGGAAGCCATGTTTGAAACGGTGTTCATGTCTCCATTCACAAGCTAGCGGCACCACACTTGACATAAGCGCTCAGTTACCACCTTCCCTTCTTAGCTTTGAACTTCGGATTTAATAGTGATAGAAAATTTAATATTAGAAAAAGTGTGACTTTGAAACGGTGTGAACGATATTAACTAGGCTTTTGACATTTGCTGAAATCTGCGTGCAGCTGGGCATATGAAGGATTTTGGAAATTGCAAATTCAGCATCTTTTGCTAACAGTATGTTATTAAACGCCAGAAATATGATTAGACTTATACTGTAATATCTGAGGTAAATGTCTTACGGTGGTTACTTAAAATATATTATGTAATACATGTTATTGTGTTTAAACACGTTGTGGGTAAGAAAACAAGATTAGCTGTATTATTCCAACAGTTGCATCTCCAGGATCGAACCACACTGTTTCTTGCACATTAAGCAAAGCGAGCTTTCCACTCTCCAAGGTCAAAGGTTACCCCCTTGTTACACCTAGTAACAATTTTTTCTTACATTTTATACTACCTGACAACCACGCGGCGAATGAAGCTGAGATTATGTTTTTATGATAGAGGGCAAGCGTGATAGCATCGCTGATTTATAGTGACAAGAAGTTCAGCCTCTATTGATCCCATTGTCATTTATGACTATCTTTTATCTAATTAGAAACTCTTGTATCTAAGACAACATATCAGTCCATCCCCTTTATTGTATTAGTCTGGCTCTGTTTACAATGTCAATTCTTTCTAGAAAGGTTAGCAGAGTATTTTCAACTTATCGTTTCGTTCAGACTCTTGAGCATGAGTATGATGGGTGCAACCTGGTTAAATTTTACTGCATCCGGCCTTAATTTACAGATATATTAATACTCAATTACTGTAGTAAGAACTGTTTCCAAAAAAATGATAAAATCTGACTTTGAGAAAGACAAACAGTGAGAAAGTTTCTAAGAATCAAGAAAGTGCATACCTACAGGGGCGGGTTAAGTTCTTCAGGGGCTCCAAGCTAAGATATGTATCATAGGATTATAGTTGTATATAAATAACACTTCCATGTTGACCATTCCAACTTAGACAAACAGTGCAACCTGGTTAAATTTTACTGCATCCGGCCTCAATTTCTCCATCCATTTGGCTTACGGGGTTTGGCCTTCATTTGTCTCAGATTTCTTTCCTGAGTCACTTGCGATCCGATGGAACTCTTTGTCTTTCGCCGCCTGGGAAAACGTAATAACGAGCCTGAAACTCCTCCCTTTACCATCCCCACAAATCTCTTCTTAAACCGCTGTCATATTTCAACGTCACGTGCTCTTGTCAGTAAACAGACATATATTTTAGTAGATTAAGCTCCAAGAAATTTGTCACTGTTAATTTTTAGTAATGTCAGCATTAATAGTATCTGGAAGATGGAAAAGACAGTTGCTCTTAAACCGTTACTCACGTAACTTAAATACTAATAATACTTTCATCATCTTCTTAAAATAAGTAACTTCATTTAGATTTATCTCTAACACATTACACGAGTGTGCACTAATGAATGGTTTAAATGCCAAGTCACGCAGATTATTTAACTTTATCTGAAATATTTTGTTTACTGACAATTCGTCACATAATGTTTTACAATTGGTACGCATAGTTCCAAATATATTCATAAAGGCAAACAAAAAAGACTATTAATATAGTTAAAGACGAAAATATTATAAAATATTTTTCGATTGTATACTCAAAACTATTGATGATACGTAGAACTGACCACTCCAACATTGGCAGACCCAATAGTCACAACTAAACTAGCTCTGTTTGCTTGCTCACTTCTCACAGGTTATGGTAATTAATGACACAGGATGTTTTTGATGAAGGAGATTGTAACTGAGTTATCGTAGTTTTCCAACCATTAATCAATCAAAATAATAATGTTCGTCCATTTGGTAAAGCCATGATCGTAATAACTTCTCAGCTCAGTGAGTATACCGCTAAAAAATAAATCAAAAATAGAAGTTATTTAAAGAAAGATAGTGATATACTTTTTATTGTGATGTTCATTGCTGATAAATGTTTGTTCGGACTACTGTAAGGATTCTGTTTTGATGGTGCGCATATCACACTATATCATTAAACTTTACAAGGAAAAATCGTTTTGGATTTTAAAGTAGTTTGTGGTTTTTGTGGTTGGCGACCAACTTTTCCTTAAAAGCAGAAAACAACTCATGCGTTTAATACACACATCTTTTTCTATTATTATTTTTTGCAAGTCCGTAAGAATTATGAATATTTTCGTTTTCAAATTTGTGCATGTACATTTCTCACATATTCTGAATAATTACAAACTGTTTGCCCAAAATTCTCGTTATTTGTTGTTGTTGTTTTTTGTTGTTTTTTCAGATAATCCTGATTGGGCTAAGTATACATAATTCAGATATATTAACACTCAATTACTGTAGTAAGAACTGTTTCAAAAAAAAATGATAAAATCTGACTTGGAGAAAGACAAACAGTGAGAAAGTTCCTAAGAATCAAGAAAGTGCATACCCACAGGGGCGGATTAATTTATTCAGAGGCTCCAAGCTAAGATA